AAAACAATGACTAAAAGCAGAGATTCTCAGCGATGGCTAAATTCCATAAGAAATTCTCTAAATTCTTGTTCAGTTTCTTCTCTTTGAGGACTTCCAGTGATATCATAGGCTTGTCATCGGGAGTGTCCTTCCCATTGATAGGACTGTCAGTATCCCCGGTGGTCGACGGTGTGGTTGCCATCCGTTTCAGATTCTTAATTAACTCCAAATTCTTGTCACAAATGTCACGAATGAGGTCCGAGTCGGTGGTGGTGTGGCTGTCGGCCTGTCTGGTCATGAAGACAGCGATCTCTTTGTGAGTCTTAGTCATAGCGAACATATCCTTCGAGGTGTGGCCGACAGTGATCTCAATGGCCGCGAGATTCACGTAAATGTCGTACAAATCGGTCCGACTCTGGACATCGGACTCGAGAAAGCCGGCGATATAGTGGGTGTGGGACTGGAGGTCCTGGATCTCTGTGGTCGAGCTGAGCTCAACGCACGGGTACAGCATTTGGTAGGCGTCCGGTCGGTGCCACACAAACGCTGGTAATACTCGTATGAATTGTAGCAATGGATCCAATTTGTGGTGATAGACAACGACCCGGCGTTTCAGTACGAGAGCCGTGTATATGAGTATAACGTCTAATCCAAACATTTTGATCACAGACTTGATGGTCGACTTGGCGTGGATGGTGTCCACCGACTCGTAGTCTTCGAGATTGAATTTCTGGCAATTATTCAGCTGATCCTCACTCACACGGAATGAGCCCTTTATTAGAAGTGTTAAGTAATACGATAAGAGTCTCTCGATTTGTCCGCTCTTGAGGTATATTTTGACAAATATTTTGGTCAGTGTTTCGTATTTCTCTGGATTAAAGTCTTTAGCGATTATCACGATTGAGAACTGTTTGACATCTGGTGAGCTCAGGACCAGGGGTTCAGAGGAATGCATATAAATCCATACGTTTTCGAAGTGATGGTAATGGAAGTGCCGATCAAATAGACCTGCGGTTGGGTTCAGACAATGACATGAATTTGAGATATGATCTGAAAATTGCTTTTTAAGGCAATACCTGAGTTCGGGTCAAAGTATTGATCGTTGAGTTGTGTCTCGATATATGACCGCAGAGTGTGTCCAATGGAAGGGAACGTCCACTTCATGACCACTGAGTTGTGTAACTGATTCTCAAACACATGAATCGACACCAACTGCTCGATGGCTTTGGTTGAGGTCATGGCTCAGGTATGTCGAGATCCCCTACTACTTATCGTGACAATTGCTGGTGTGGACAGACATGTCACGGGAATGTCTGTGATATTCCTATTCTTCAAAACAATTCATTCAAATAATTATATCCACCGATGGATACAGAGTTGATCTCATAGACCACTAGATGAGGTACAGGCGCTCGTAGGATACCTTTCCACTACTCATGACTGTCGCAGTTATTCTTACCTATGGTTTAGTTTTTTGGTCGAAATATGAGACAAAACTTGTTTTCTCTCTTATTTTATCCTTTTATTTGCCATTAGTTTTGAATTTCTAATGAATTTGATTATTATTTCTTTTCTCTTCGAAAGCTCTGATAAAATAGTTTCGAAAATTCAAAATACATTCAAAACTTATTTTTATGACTCCTTTCTAATCGACAAGTTTATGCCTTTTTATAAGTGAATAATGTTTGTATGAAAAGTGTATGAATTTCTATCTCTTGAATATTGAGGAAACTTTTTCACCATTTTATCTGTTTTTAAATTTTAATTTTTTTTTGTGTTTTTGTGTTGTTTTTTGTTGATTGAAATAAATATCAATTACACTTTTAAAAGTTTATAAATATATTTAATATGTTTAGTAATACAGCGCTTTTGAAGTGAGTTTTCAGGAAATTTTTTTGTGAATTATTTTAATGTGAATTTTATCTAAATTTTATGCTTAAAATTGATTATAATTTTTGGTATTTAGCGCATAGTGTATGCAAAATGTGGCTATTATTATATTCATTTGAAACTCTAATTCAAATTTATTTTTAATATTGAAGTACTTTTTAAAAGAGTAGAGAATATGAAAAATTTTGTAGAATTTTGTCTATAATTTATAGATAGTATTCAATATTTTTTATGAATATTTTCTCATACTTTACATATAATTCAGCGCTTGTTATGAACGGAAAATATAAAAGTTTTGTCAGTAAATCAGCTTATATATTGTGAATTAGATTTGCTATTATAAAAAAGGCATGAATTTATTCAATATACTTAAAAGTTTACAATTTTAAATATATTTCATTAGTATATATTTTGGATACTTTTAAAACTTACTATTTTTAAGATATTTTGTCTTAACTTAAAAGTTTTTATTTTATATTCGAGAAAAGTTTTGATAATTTTTATTTTTCATTTTATATTCAAAACATATAGTAAAAGCCATAAATAAGATAATATTTTTAATTGACTGCAATTTACTATAAATTTTCTTGTTGTTAGTGTACACTCTGTTTGAATGAACTCAATACAGGAGTTGTCGTAATACTGTTTATACAAAATACAGTATAGCTTTGCATATGAAACACATAAA